CCGACCGGGGCAAAATTGACCAGTTTCGAGCAGACCGCAAGGTCATCACTGTCCAGGTGTACGAGTGTGCAGACCTACAAGAAGCAGAACGGAAACCGATCCATTCGAAATGCCACAGTGTCTCCTTCCTCTTATACGCGACGGGCGCGAACAGCAGCTTGCAGGAACCGAGCGAAGCACTGCAACTCCCTCTCTACATAACGAACATCCTGACCACAAAAGGGGCCATGGCGATACACCCATCACAGGGACAACCTCATCCTCGAGCAGAAAAACTGAAACCTCATACCACAGACTCGGGCAGGCTTCCACGCAGCCGGGGAGGACCCCGACGGTGACCTCGTGCATCTGGTCGAAGCGGACGACGAGGAGTTCCCCATTAACCGCTACATCGAGGCCGAGTTACAATGCGAATGCCATTTGGGGCCACATAGAAATTCCAACCGTCAGTGTCCACGGATCGCCAGCACGCGCCTGCCAACATCACATACAAAGAAATAATCGACGGCCATCAAACTACGCTCAACATGTTACCGCCGCGCGAGGCCATCGCCGTCGCGCGGGCGCCCCTTCCAGAGCCGGCCAACAGGAAAGAACCGACCTGCCTCTTTGTCATCGGTTGCATGGGTACCATGGTGGAAAGCATCTGCAGCTCGCGTCCCTCATCAGGAGCGACGTCCGCGAGGAGGGCAAGAAGCTGCTCACCAAAATGCAACGCAATTTCTACATCAGCCTCAAATTCGACTACGGAGCGATGCTGGAGTTATCAGGCTTCGCCCAGCGAGCACCCGTGAGCGACATCACCCTTTACCTGCACCGCGCGCAGCTAGCACGGAGAGAACGGTTCTTGCCCCCTTCCGATCATCGCTCCGATCATCACCAACATCCCCCAGACTACGAAACCAGCGTTGACCGGCAATGCCGCCCCCATCCTCGAAACGACCCGCCGCCACCGAACTGCCCGCCGCCACCAGTCTACCTGCCGAACTACCAGGCATGGACCGAGCACACGGACCGATCACACGCTAGCACGCCTCCCACTCGTCTCGCCGCTCGACCGTCAGCACGTGTCGCCGTCGCCGCGGCCATGGGTCATATGCGCATCTGCGACCCGAGAATGTGGAACGCCCAGGTGCACAAATGCAGCCCTGACGCCCGCGAGTCGGAAGCGGACGGCCCTGGCGAAGTCCTGATGCGACGCAGAGGGAAGAGAAGAGTCTTCTGTTGACAACGGCGATTGTTTGTATGACGAACGGGGCCGGCGTCAGCCATCACCCCAGCCTAGGGCAAGGTCGCCATTCCCGAAGGCAAGATTTCGATGCGTGGACACATCCACTGACGACCGTTTTTTGGAGCACGACGCTGGCCACGAGCGCAAGAGCGCCCGCCGTCAAGGCGGAGATGCAGCGCCTGGGCAACGACCAGTTGCTCGCGCACGTCGCAGCCGACGAGCAGCGCGCTCGCAGCCGCGCGCTTGACTGTCGACATCAGCAACATGAACGACGAAAACAACGCCCGCCTTTTCAAAGTCCACGCCCGCAGAATGATCCCAGAGGCCATCGCTGACATCATTGACCCCGAGACCTTCTTGCTACTGAGGCGCAGGCCCCACTGACTTCGCGATGTTCGAATCCCACGTTATGATGACCTGCGTCGCGGCCCCATTGCATTATTTCACGCGCCGCGATGTGCTCCCAGCGGCGCGGCTTTTCATGGTGACCCACGAGCAGACAGTCTTCGTTCGCGTCGACAATCACAGGTTGGCCGCGATTGTCGCCCACCTGGTCGTCGACGATCGCGCCGACCTACCGGCGCCGGCGGCAGAGGCTAAACGTCAGTGCGACATCTTCGCTCACGGCAAGCTGGAGACACGCCGCAACCCCGCTTTCAGAGCCGGCTCCATTCGCGATCTCGCTCTTCAAGAAGAGCGTCGCCAATGTGGACATCGACGAGGTCGGCGAGGTCTGGTCGAGGCCAAGGGGCCACCACAGTCGGGAAAGTCGCTGGGCGGCCTGCGACCCGAGGCGGGGGCGACAGCGGGGGGCCGCGATATCACGGAGATGCGATGGGCCGCTGCCGCGCGCGCGAGCAATCCATCGCGCTGACGCTGGGCGAAAGCCCCGCAGAGTCCAGCATCCGCAGCCTTGGCGCCGCATGAGCGGGGCGCGCCTCGCGCCGCCGACGCGCGCGGCGGGGGCCTGTTCCACTTCTCGCCCCGGCGCCTGACCGAGGACGCGCGCCGCGGCTGGCAGCGGCCGCCCGAACTCCGCCGTTGGTGCCGGTGCCAACCCCACAGCGCGATCGCTGATGGCAGCATCGCGAGAAAAGGCAACGACGTTGACGACGCGGCCCGCCCACCGCGGATAGCCAAATGTGTGGCCCCCTTCGGAGATGACGACTTGGAAGCGCGATCATGAGGCCGTCGAAGCCGCCAACGCCATGGGCGCAGGTCCCAGTCCGACGTCGCCTCAACAGGTGACGAGCGACACTGCCAGCTCATGCGGAGAAGAGCCACCGCGGCCGCCATTCGCGCCCGTCTACCAGCCGACCAGCTCGGCAAATCAGGAGACCCACCCCCCTCACCACCCGCAACCAAGGAGGCGCGCGCCTCGCGATGGGGCCAGGCAGCGGCCGCCCGTCAGTGCGTCGCCGACCTGCGCGTCTGCGACCAGCGTTGTCTCCGCAGACAGCAGGCGCTACCGGCGGCCAGCCGCCCGCGCCCATGCCTCGGTACTATCCTGGTACCGAGCAGTCGCAGTCACTGGGCACGCCGAAGTACGTGCTCAGCGGCAGCAGCAGCTGGCCCGCGCCGAAGGCGCATTCTCCTCTCCAGACCCTCACTAGACTCCATGGCGGCGGCGCGCCGCATCTCCGCGAGCCCCCCCGCGGGCCCGCGCCCAGCGCAGCGAGGCACCTACGGCGAGCGCGCCTGCGACGCGCTACGCTGCGCTGCGCGCCCACGGCAACGCGCGATCAAAAACCGCCGTGGGTTTTTCCCACCCACGAATGCAAATCAACCGGCGTGTCGCGAGATTGCCATGGGGCCTCTGCCCAACTTCGATTTCCCCTTGGCCGGCCCTCCTGCCGCCCCCGCCCCCGCCGCGTCGCCCTGCCAGCCTTCGCCGGCCCACTCGCGTGGCGGAGGGGCGGGTGGGGGCGGCGACCGCGCGCGTCCGGCGCCCATGGCCGGGGCCAGGGCGGCCGCGGCCTTGACCTGCCCTCGCGCAGCGACGCAGTTGCAAAAGAGCGTTCTCCACCCTACCTCTGTCTGGCTCGACCTCGGCCATCCTCGTTCGCCGATCGCCGCCGCGACGCTGAGGGAGTTTGCGGGGACATGCGACGGCGGACATTCCTCGGGGCAGGGGGAGAGGCTTGCGCGCCCGCGCCGGCGGGCGCCGCCGCGCCGCCGCGCCGCCGCTCGCCGCGCACTGTCTGGGAAATCCGCCGCTGCAGAAGGCCCATCCTACTGGGGGCCAGTCCAGCATTCGGGGGGCCCTGCGTCTGACCTGCAGGTGGGGCCCCCCGTCGTTGGAGCGGGGGCCTTGGAGCCCCCCACCTTGGCGAGCGTGGGCGCCCGCCACCGCGTTGCCGCCGCGGCGCCACTCGCCGCCGCTGCGCTCATATTTTCATATATATGTATGTATGTATTTGTTTTGTTCTCTCTCTCTCTCTCTATCTCTCTCTCTCTCTCTCCCTCTCTCTCTCTCTATCCATCTCTCTCTCTCTCTCTCTTGGGTTTTTGGCGTGGTTTGTTTTCTCCTCTTCTTCCACCCCCCCTCCCGTTATGCCGGTTTTTCTTCGGTCGTTTTACTTCTTTGCTACCGGCGCCAGAGACATGCCATCTGGCCCATTGGTTTGACCGCCCTCCGCGGCCGACCCGCCCTTTGGGCGGGGGCGTCTGACAGACCTTTGCGCCGCCAGGGGCCAGGAGGGGGGGGGGGCCCGCCCGTTTGCGCGCGGATGGGGGACCGATGTTCAGAAGAGATGGCCCCCTTGGTCAGACGAGGCAGTTACGCTGTCGAACCGAAAGGTCCGTCCGAGCCGGCTGAGGATCGCGCCTCGCGCAGCGCGCAGCGCCATGGGTGTCCAACCTCCTTGCAACTGAAGAGGGGTGCGCAAGAAATCTTCTCCAAACGAAAAGGGGTCGCGTTGACTGCGCAGGGCGGCGCTGCCGCGCGCGGAGGGGTCAGCTGGTCGCGCGCTGCTTTCCTGGCGCCGTGGCGTCGGAGGCCAGGGTTGCACCCACATGCCCGCTCTGACCCCTCGCGGGGGCCAACTTCTGAGAAGCACCCCTACCTTTTAGAAGGCGCGGGCGGACCTTGCCTATGGATGTAAGGCCGGCGCCTAAACAAAAAAAACAGCCTGCTTCTAACCCCCCCCACCACCACCCCACGCGCACCCCATTTGTGCGCGCCGCCGAGATTGTTTGGCTCGGGTGAGGGCGGTCCCGGTGTGGCGCTTCGGTTCTGCCCGGAGCTCGCAAGGCTGACGCGCCGCATCCTCGCCGGGAAGCGAGGTCCGCCGCGCGCCGTGCGTGGGCGCGCTGGCCGATGCGTTCGGCATCGCCCCCACGGCCGGCGCGCGCCTGTCACGGCGGGGTTGCGGGCGTGCGTCGCTTTTGGTGCGAGTGCGTGCGTACGTAGCGATGCAGGGAGGGGCAGGCTCAGGGGGGGACGCCTCAACCCCCAATCGCCCACGCACTGCTGATAGGGTCCTGATATCCCGCCCCGCCCAGGATCGCGCGCACATGCCATCCAGGGCCGATCGCAGATCCATCGGCGGCTGATCGCCGATTGCAGGCCGGTGTTTCTCCCGTTGGGCTGGTCCTCCCCGAACATTCCCCCGCGCTTCGTGCGTGATTTTGGTCACTCAATGACGCGCCGAGCATATAACAGTGGGGTGCGCCAGCCCAGTCAAGACAGCAGCAACGTCAGGGATCTAGCAAGACTGGCAGGTGTCTGGCTTGAGACGAGAGCTCACGGCGTGACAAACGATGGATG